GCAGCACAAGGGGGTCGCACAGCGATACTACGGTGTCATTACGACCACCACTGACTGTTGACCCATGGCAGCACAAGGGGGTCTCACAGCGATACTACGGTGTCATTACGACCACCACTGACTGTTGACCCATGGCAGCACAAGGGGGACTCACAGCAATACTACTATGTCATTAAAACCACCACTGACTCAAGTCAATGTACGTGCCATTCCCACTATGATTTCACACTAAGATGACACTATGGCTATTCAGGGTTGCTCCAGGATTTCCAAAGTCGGGCACAGTTTACACTTTGACTGCAGTATGATGGTGCTACATTTACTGTATGGCAGTGATGGCAGGAATAAGGTTGGTCAGTTTTCCGGGTCAGGATGCTATAAATAGGGGACAAAATCTGCTCCAATGGTCTGCTGGATACCTGAACTAATCGGTAGTAAAGTGAATGTAAAACCTTTTAATCAATCAATGCTCCAAATCACTTGGTACTTCAGTCTTGGAAGGGGTCGCATCATGAACTTTGTCATAAACAACCACAAAACAGACTTCAGCTGATGAACTGGCTTCTAAGAATTGAACAGGCAGCAGGTTGCAAACTACATCCTGATCCACGATGGTCTAAGTTATTCAGAAACAAAGAATAATAAGGGTTTTAAGTGGTTTGCAACATTATACTTCCTTTATTATTACATACAATTTTTCTTTTTTGTAAGGTAAATTATTATTACTTTATTACCAGAATAAAACACCAAGCTTGAGTACAAAGTCTGAGTTTGAGCTGGAGATCATTTTAATGAAAATGGGCTCAGTACTGTTGATCTAGAGGGTAAGCTGTATTGACCAATCGCACATATACATTGTTCCAGGTAGACAGTCAAACACAGCTGTTCTTCTGTGAGTAGGGGGAGCTCAACGGGCTAAAACAGGTAACAGATCATCAGGGTTATCTGCATTGACCAATAATGATCAAGCGACACACCTGCTGTACATCCCAGGCAGACAGAACTGTAGTTACTGGGGAGTTTTGGTAAAGGGGATGGGATCAACACAGGTAACAAATCAGAGCTAGCATTGATCAATCAAACATTTGTTGTGTATTCCAGGTAGACAGAACTGTCAGAGTTGGAGGAGGGGCCAACACTTGTAATTAGGTAACAGATTAAAGCTAACTTTATTGACCAATCACATCACACATTTGTTGTGTATTCCAGGTAGACAGAACTGTCAGAGTTGGAATAGGGGCCAACACTTGTAATTAGGTAACAGATTAAAGCTAACTTTATTGACCAATCACATCACACATTTGTTGTATATTCCAGGTAAACAGAACTGTCCTTGCTGTGACAAGAGTTGGGAGAAGGGCCAACACAGGTAATCGGGTAACAGATTAATTAGAGCAAGCTATATTGACCAATCATATCAAACACCTGTTGTATACTTATATAATTGTGAGTTGGGAGAAGAGTCAACGAACCTCTACCCTCTCCTCTTCTCTCCTTTCTCTACATACTTTGTCCCTTCTATTTTCCTTTCCTATCTGTTCTCGTCTACTGAATGGCGGAAAGGCCGTACCTAATAGCACACGTAAAACCTTCAAAATCAAAATCAAGAGTCAACACAGTTAACAAATCGGAGCTAACATTGACCAATCACACTACACATTGTATATTTCAGTTAGATACTGTACTTTTGTGTCAGAGCTTGAGGAGGAGCTAAAACAGGTAGTCAGGTAGCAGTTTAAAACAAATTATATTGAACAATCACATCACACATTTGTTGTGTATTCCAAATAAACAGAACTGTTCTTGTTGTGATAGAGTTGGGGGAGGGGCCAACACAGGCAACAGATCAGTAGAGCAATCTATACTGATCAATCAGACATAGGAGGGCAGCGGGTACTACACTAAGGACGCCTTTTCGCTGACCACAGCCGCTGCAACACCCTATCTGCATCCGAGATGCGATCAGACTATGGAGGGTGACCTGGATTGGCCTAGGCCTTGAGAACCACAGCGGGCCTGGTAAGCGCCAGCTCATCACGTCCATTGAACACCGACTTTGTCAGTGAAGTGTAGACGATAAACAACTCAACAAACCAACCATCAAACACCTGTTGACACTGTATAGATCCTGTTTACTTGTACATGTATATTCCATATGATATCTGAGAACTGGTGATTTCAGGAAGGGGGCAACTGCTAGCAATATGTACCAAGTGATCAATCATAAAATAAAATATATGATACATATTTGAGGTACAAAAATATTCCTGCTAATAAAAAACCAATCTGGTTAGTATGTTAATTATGAATAATTAGATTGTGGCATGGGAATACATTAAGGTTGCACGTATTGATAGACCAGACATTAACCAATGAAATTTCACTTGTATATTTAGTGGTAAATAACATTAAATTAAATGTGTTATAATAAAGGAAAAGAATGAGTAAACAGAACATTATTTTGGTCACTGCTATACTTGTTGATGAATAAATCTATCAAATTTATATCAAATAACTTCATAGACATGCAAATTGGTCTATAATATAAATTATTCTTAAAGACCTACAGTGATGTTCATGGTGATGTTCTATGGGTCTGCTGTTAAGTTTGAACTATGATAAATAATTAAATGAAAAAAGAAAACTAAAAAGGTGATAAAATCTGTCTTCAAAGACTTCTCTGTAATGAGACTTCATCTGTTTCAGTGTTTGTTTTATGTTGATGATATGAAATTACTTTGAGTAATATATACTAATTATATATTTAACACATACAAAATTTCACCATTTTTGCTTTTGAAAAAATATTTTGGTCATATATAGTTTCCAGTTAAGTTCTTCTCTAGCACTTTGTACAGTGTGTCAGTGAATATCAGGAGTGGTTCCTTTCATTTTTAAACATTAGCTACGTTCCAATAACTCTTGAAGACTTATTCAAAACATTTCATCAGCCCTTTACATAAAAATCTACTTGTCCTGTGTGTCAAAATAGGGAATCATCAACACCCTTAATATGATCTAGATAATTTCACTTATTATATATATATATAACCTCGTCAAATTTGTTAAATCTTCGTTAGGCTTATTATGTATACTATTCATGACAGTTCATGGCTAACATCTGAGAATTCGGACACCAGACAAAACAATTAAGGGTTTATCCTCAATTGCATACTGGAAAACTTCATTCTACACATAATTGATGATCACTTGTCATCAGAAAATGGTTTAAATGTACAATATGTTAAAAATACTATATCTTTAGACAATTTAGATTTTTTTTTATTTATGGTTTGCAGCAGGTTCTCTTTGGCGATTATCTAACAATGTTAGTCATTGTAATACAATTGCAAAGTGAGATATTGGCAGGAGCCATATATTCCAGTCATAAAATATAAGTACTGGCACCGGAATCCCCTTTTAAAGAGGAAAACATTTACTAGAAATAGTGTCTTGTGGTGGGGTTTTTTCAATTTACCAAAGGTCTATTAAAATGATTAAACACCTTTCTCACACACTGAACAATATTTTATTTTATATATCTATACAAATTTTTGTATAATTATTGTTACATAAGTTACTCGTTCAATGAAGAGAAGTGGAGGGATTTTCAAAATTATAACTCCGGTCGTGTAACAAGATCTAGTACACACATGATACGGGACTAACTCATGTATTTCTTAAAAATGTCAACCTCCAATATTATAGTAAATTTGCTAGTTCGAATATATAGCGACAGCTACCAACCGGCAATGCAAAATCAGTGAGTTGTCAGTGTGTTATAATGTTTTTTTACCTTGTTTTCTAACCGGCATGACTGCAGGTTTGTAGTAAAACCAGCTCACACCCAAAAACCAGAAGCGGGGCGTTTGCTACGAAATCAGACGAAAAGAAGCCAAGCAACAGCTCCTTATGGTTGCTACCCAGCGACCTGAAGCTCGTATGATGATGCAAACTGTCAGGTTGGCTGTGTATCCAGTGGCTGAAGTAGATCAGGAAAGTCCCTCGCAAAACAGGAACTACAAAGATGGCGGCTACGCAAAACCTATTATGATCACGTGACACTAAGGGAAATAGTTTGCTGTTAGTTTGCTGTTGTTTAATTTATTTTTTTCTATATATTCTATTATCAAAGCAGATATCGAATGAATCAAATTCAACAATATAGATTAAGGCAGACATGTTTTAAAATTAAAGACATTGAATAGTCTGAATATGATGTGGAGTAATTTTGAAATGAACTCTCCCCACTTAGAGAGGATCCCGTGGGTAAACAAGTGGTCGACTCTCTTTCATCATATATTATATACGACACATCATTGGCCACGTTCGATTTATTCATTTTACAATTCATATAACTTATAAAGAATTGTAAAGCCCTCATTCGCCCTAAATGATGTTCAAATTCATAACTTAAATTCAAGGAAGGCTGTGACCCAGTTTAACAACAGTCGGATTTTACATACAGAGGTGTGGGAAAATTCTAAAAATTCCGAACGGCATTTCCTCTTCCGGTAAAAATGACCTTCAGCTATACGCGTGTTTTGTCAGCAGTAGGCCTATCAAAACTCTGATTTTCTATGAATAGCCAGGTAAAGGTTGTTTCTCATGTCTGAATTAATAACGTTCAACTCACGGCAACTGAATATTAGGTTTTCTATGGACTGGTAACAGACATTGCATGGATTACCGGAAAGTCTGAAACACGTGCATTTAGCCGATACTCGCCATCATCAGGTTGGGCACAACGGCGCAAATGGGTAATAATCCTTCATTTGGGTAACATCTTTGTATGTTATGGTTGAATGAACTTCGAATCTACTTTCACTATCCTATATAAAAAATCAAAATTTTGTACTTCACTATCTTTATTAAAAATCGCTATTTATATGGTTATTATAAACAACTTTTGGTTGAACGTTTTTTCGTGTTTTGACATTTTCGTGATTTTAGATGTCCCGACTTTTCTAAGGCTTCAAAGGTCGTGAAATACTTTCAAAATCAATAACTGTACAACCAAAAGTTGTTTGTAATAACCAATAGATATGGCGATTTTCATTAACGTAAGTGAAGTACAAAATTTCGATTTTTCATATAGGATATTGAAAGTAGATTTGAAGTGCATTCAACCATAACATACAAAAATGTTACGCAAATGCGGGATTATTACCCATATGCGCCGTTGTGCCCAACCTGCCTGGACAGGAGCTGACCCAAGGGGTGTGTTGCTTCAGCGACGAATCGGGCAATAGGGGAGGGAGGTCATCACAATATTTTGCCATCAAGTTGTAAAGGGTTAAATTTAATCTATCGATGGACATTGTTTTTTCTGTCAAACTGCAAGATCATTTAATGGTGATTAATTCTGCAATTAACTTGAGCACTTTTTATGGTATTTTCCTATTTTGTATAAATTTTTGCTTTGTCCTAAGTTCATAATTATAAATAATTACTCGGATCAATTAATACATTTAAATGTTCTTTTACATCTGCACACTAGTAATGGTATTATATTGAAGACTTCTGTTTTAAAAAATCAGTAACAGATTGTTTCGTCCCGTTCTTTTTCTTCTTTATACGAGGGCTCCATCATTTTGATGATTATGCCATCGAGGGTCCTATTGTAGAGGCGTGAAGGGGTTATTTATAGTGATTAGGGGAGGGTGGTTTTTTTTTTGTGCAAGGTATAAATAAAAAGTTAAAATCTGGTGTCTGTACTAGTGTGTGATGAGGGCTTCAAGGGCTGTGTAGGGTAAGTGTGCCTTGAAGTCCTCTAATGTTGTGCATTGGACTGCTGCTAAGGGGAGGAGATTCCATTGTGTTACTGTGTGTGGGAAGAATGAGTATTTGTAGGTGTCCTTTGTAGCAGATATGTATTTGTATGCATACGGGTGTACCTGCCTGGTGCGGGGGTCTACAGGTGTGAGTATATGTGTTGGGTTTAAAGCAGGGTTCTCCCCAGGCCATTTAGCTGATACGACTCCGTATCAGCTTCAGTTTGAAATCCTCCCTGCCGTATCAGCTTAATTGACCCGTATCACCTTGTTATTTGTACTGAACAGAAGGTGGTCTTTTTACACAAGAAATTGACACTGATTAAATCACACGGCTGACCCAAGTCCATCAATGACCCCACTGGTCAGATGCACGATAAGCGTATTGCCATAGGGGGCCTGTAATTAGTGGCGAGGGGGACCGGACGACAAGCCCACAGGTGTCCGGCAAGCATGCTCACTGGAGCCTAAAGCAATTACCACCGGATCCTTTTAGCATGGTCAATAGGTGATTAATTGATGTACCTACTGTTGGATTAACAAAACAAACACTTATTACATCTATTATAAATTAATTTACTCACATATGATTGCATTTGACAACGCTGAAATAGCGTGTGTATTCAGTTAGTGATGGTCGCCATCTTGGATTGTGTAAAGTACAAACCGGAAAGGGGAATGAAATTCCGGATTTGTCGTTTTTAATGAAGAAGAGCTCAAATAAAAATGCTGTTTTAATCTTTGATCACATTTACTGACAGCAGTATTTAATATAGTTTTAGAGGAAATAAAAACACTGTACATTTTATTAAAACATTTTCTCTTACAACA